AAGATCTTTATTTATTTATTTATTGAGACAGGGTCTCACTCTGCTGTCTAGGCTGGAGTGCAGTGGCGCCATCTTGGCTCACTGCAACCTCTGCCTCCCGGGTTCAAGCAATTTTCCTGCCTCAGCCTCCCAAGTACATAGCTGGTAGCTGGGATTACAGGCCTGTGCCACCCCACCTGGCTAATTTTTTTGTAGAGGCAAGGTTTTGTCATGTTGGCCAGGATGGTCTTGAACTGGACTGAAGTGATCCACCCGCCTTGGCCTCCCAAAGTGCTGGAATTATAGGCGTGAACCATCGTGACAGGCCCAGAACTTACTTATTTTTGATGGCAAAACATTAAAGATAATACAACCATCATGCTTAATTATGTATTTATTCCCCAGCTGCATTCCTGATCTCTTGTACCTACCCAGCATACTCCAACCCCAATCTTCCCCATCTCAGCTAATGTAGGCAGATCCATTTTTCCAGTTGCTCAGAACAAACAGTTGTTCATCCTTGTTTCCTTTAGAACCCTAAATCCAATGTGTAAACAAATCATATTGGTTTGCAAAATGTATCTTGAACCCAACCATGTCTTAAGACCTTACTGTCACAACCCTAGTACAAGCTACTGTCATCTTTTGCCTGGGTTACTGCAATAGGGCCTGTCACTCTACAGACTATTTTCAATCCGGCAGCCAGGGGAACTAATTTAAAGACTAAATCTTACGATGTCAATCTTCTGCCAATAGTCTCCCAGTCTCAGGCACACTAGGCCTTTCACCATCTGGCTTAGTGTTTCTCTGACCTCATAACACATGATTTTCTTCCTGGGTTACTCTTCTTTAGCTACAAGTGACCTCCTGGCAGTTGCTTCAATTCACCTGTCCCCATCCTAGGGTGTGCACAAGTTATTGCCATTGTCTGGAATGCTCTTTCTTCAGATATGTGCAGGTATCTCCTTCACTTTCAAGTCATTATTCAAATACTACTTTCTCAGGGAGGCTTGCTGCAACTGCCCAATTTAAAAATTACATCTCCATATTCCTCCTGTGCTTGGTCTCATTCCACGGCCCTTCCCATACAAATTTTTCCGATAACACTCATGGTCTTCTAACATACTATATAATTTGGGTATTTATTTTTATTGTCTAAGTTCTACTAGAATGTGAGTTTGATGATGGCATAGGTTTTTGTCTGTTTTGTTCACTGCTATATCTGCAACTTTGAGAATAGTGTCAGGTACATGTTAGGCTCACAAGAATCTGTTGAAATGTGAAAGGTGTTTGATTCCAGTATAAGAGTATTACATATTGGATTTCAAGGGAATTGGAACAACTAAGTTTTCATGTGCCTGGAGAGCTCAAAGTCTCATTAAAACTCTGGCATTCCATGATTCCCTTACCATTCTGACTCTCAAAAACATAATCAGTTTTTTAGCAACCAAGCACTAATTTTAAAAGAGCCCAGGCCGTGAAATCTACAATGAGAGGTCGCTAAGAGAATGATCATAACTATAATTCTACAAGTTACCTGGTACTGTCATTTTTTAACATGTCTTTTCTAATCATTGTACTGCTTTTCCTAGTTTGGAACATATGAATGCAATTGGAAGGTGAGGGAAGCCAATTTGATTACACATCAATAATTTTGTGACACCCCCATCCCACCAGTGCATCTGCAGATTTGATATATCATTTCATGTTGGTTTTTCTTTTGAAATGTGTAACATCAGGCAGGGCATGCTGGCTCACTCCTGTAATCCCAGCATTTTGGGAGGCTGAGGCAGGAGGATCTCTTGAGCCTAGGAGTTTGAGACCAGCCTGGGCAACATAGGGGGACCCCTATCTATACACAACATTAAAAAATTAGCTGAATGTAGTGGCACTTGCCTGTAGTCCCAGCTACTGGGGAGGCTAAGGTGGAAGGATTGCTTAAGCCCAGAAGGTTTAGGCTACAGTGAGCTGTGATTGCATGACTGCACTCCAGCCTGGGCAACAGAGAGACAGAGAGAGACCCTGTCTCAAAAAAAAAAAAAAAAAAAAAAAAAAAAAAAAAAAAAAGTCCTGAATACTTCTGTGATTTTTTGGTAGCACAAATGCTGAAATTATTCTGCACAACTTTAGGATCCATCCTTTGGCTATTCCCATGTTGAAGGAACACAGAATTTTAGGGCTGTAAGGTTTTAGTTCGTTTGGTTCCATCATCTCATTCTATAGATACAAAAACTGAAGGCCAATGATGTTAAGTTACTTGCTCCGGTACCACTGGGCTGAGGAATCTTTTTGGTCAGAACAACTTGCTCTAAACATAAAACAAGACACCTTTGAGAATGCAATTGGAAAACCGTTCTCAACGTCAGAAAATTAAATATAGCAACAATTGCAACATACAGTTCTAAACAATATGCAATCTACCCAGTTTATTTCCATGGTGACAATTTAAACATTAAAAATAGAAGGCAAATATAGCAAAGGATGAAATAATTGGTAAATAGAAAATAAAAGTCCCCACAAGCATCCTAACAAGAAAGAGTATGAATCTCAAACGACAATTTGCAGGCCACCTGAACTGTCACTGTGGCATCCACCTGAGAAGAAACCACTTCCGTGGAATCAGAGAGATGGTTCCATATTAGTCATGGCTTCTGCTATTCTTTTGAGAATGTGGGCTTTACTACGTAATCATTTTAAGATGCCTGTGGGCACTTTTACTTAGATATATGTACTTTCTCTCTGCACTAGTGAGTCTACATGAATGTTACATGCCCAAGGAATGTAAAAGTCGACACTAACAATGCTTCATTTTCCTTTAACAGTTTTGTCCATGTGATGGAGCCATTTTTGTGGAGTGACAAATTCACTTGGTCTCCTGATGCATTTTCCCCACATGCCTTGAAAATCACTTGCTTTTCTAAGAGGTGGTAATCATCAAAGCCTTAACTTCAGCAAAGCTTCACTATTCTAGCTTTGTTATAATTGGGATACCCTGGTAGCATCAGTAATTTAGGATATTTGATATTAATTTAATGGAAAATATTTTTGATCCTTTGTATATAGCAATGGTCTTAAACTGTGAGCAAAATTATGGATAAATCAGATTTTCAAAAATGGATTTTAACAAATTTCCAGGAGGTAGGAACCTGGATAACTTATATGACTTTAACACTCAGATCTCTCCCAACAGCACAATTCAGTTTCCTAAGAGTGAATTTTTAAACTTCCTGTATCAATGCCTTAACTCAGTTTCCCTTCTCCATGTCTCACTCTCATTAACTTCTGTTGTGTGTGATTATATGCAGACTGGACACCAGTATTCTAGAGTAAGATGATCTGGATTCTATTCTGATAAACTGGGTCAAACAGGCACTCATCTGATGCAGGTGAAACTCCAGTGTAGGAACTTCTATGACAACATTTATTGAACATAATTTTAATTGAAATGGTTTATATGAAGTGGTTTCTTTAGATGTGAACATTAATTTCTCTCTTAATCTTTTCACTTTCTTGGCAATGTACTCAAAAGAGCTTTTCAACCAATCTTCCTATGTAAGAAGTTATTACGATACTCGCTCTCTGTTACTTTTCCTTATACTGCACATTTTGGCCAGCAATGAATTGAGCCCTGATTTTCACATTATGCTGAACTCTCACATCCTAAATATATTTATTCTTTTGGAATTTTAGGTATTTGGCAAATATTGAAGCATTGGGGAGAGTAAAGAGAATCAAACACAACATTAGCAGACTCAACTACAATCCGCAGAGGAAATAACCAAATAAGTTGCTATTTTAAACAATTTAAGCAAACAGGAGGGATTATTTCAGAACTCACATACAGTATCTATAGGCAAGAAAATAACCGAAGCAGTGATGCTTAAAAAGACTTGGTGAAGGTTAATACTTGAATCCCTGTAAGTTATTTTATATATTTGACGTCACAGGTGTGAAGGTGAGCATGGATAATCAGTTTTCTTCTTTAAGCAGCCAATAAGAATGTTAAATTATAAATCAGACTGCATATTATATAAAGAATGAAAGACTGAAACCATTGTCTTACGATTACTGTATTATTTCTTTTTTTTTTTTTTGAGACGGAGTTTCGCTCTTGTTACCCAGGCTGGAGTGCAATGGCGCGATCTCGGCTCACCGCAACCTCCGCCTCCTGGGTTCAGGCAATTCTCCTGCTTCAGTCTCCTGAGTCGCTGGGATTACAGGCACGCGCCACCATGCCCAGCTAATTTTTTTTATTTTTAGTAGAGACGGGGTTTCACCATGTTGACCAGGATGGTCTCGATCTCTTGACCTCGTGATCCACCCGCCTCGGCCTCCAGTGCTGGGATTACAGGCTTGAGCCACCGCGCCCGGCTACTGTATTATTTCAAGAACTACATCTATATCGATCAAATGTGGGAGGACAAGATATACAGTTCAATACCGGGGGAGCAAGATTTTAAAATTAGGCGTAGGCCAAAACCTAAATACAGAATCGTCCAAAAAAAAACGCCTTCAAGTAGAACAAGTTTTCTATAACAATACATGGTAGTTAAACGCCTGCGTCTAGTAACATGATTTGGGGGAAACTATTAATTGCAGATTAATGGAAAAGATTCTGTGCAAGGTCAAGGTAGGGAGTGATGGCGCGCGGGAGCGGCGGAAGACCTGGTTTCGCCGTCCCAGAACGGGTTCCACATCCACACGCCCGCACTGCGGCCCTGGCGGGAGCGTTTTCATTCACTGTTCTAAACGCACAATCCCAAGATCCCGTTCACCCCAATTCCTGGAAAGAAGCTTACAACGGTCAATCTCTTCCCTGGAGTTGAAAATCAACTTCCAGTGTCGGTCATCGATCCTTCAAAAATCCTAGCCCTCTCAGCCCCAATGCCTACATAATTCAAGTCTGGTCCCTCTACACCCTGAGGGATCTCAACTCATCCCCACACCGCTCCCAGCCGTCCCCGCTCTAAGGACCGCTGAGTAGCTCAGTTCTGCCCACGCCGGGCCCTGAGAGCTGCGCAGAACGCCCCGCCCCGATGAGCGTGGCGGAAGTAGCTTGCTCGGGCTGGGAGCCGCGCGCCACTCGGCCGAGCGCGCATGCGCCGATACCGCGAATGCTGGGGGTGTCGGTAGCGCTAACTCCTCAGTCTCCGCAACCCCCGCCCACGCCATCTTGCACCCCCCTATGCCCCCCGCCACACTGCCGAGTCACCTTTTGCCTTTCTACACTCCACACTCTCTGCCCCCCACCCCGCCCCTTTCCAAGCGTGTCCCGGGCCGCAGCAGCAGAAACCGCACCATCTCCACCCCCACATTCTCCACGCAGGAAGCGCAGCCGTGCCTACAAGGGTTCTTAAAGCAGAGGTTGTGGGGCGTGCGGGGGGCGGTGCGGGCGGGGGAGACTTCGGGGAGCCGGGAGGGACGCGGCGCGGACATCCCCGCGGATCTGGGTCCCCGCGCCTGCCACGCCCTGGCCCCGGCTCGCGGGCGGCCGCCTGGGTCTTCCGCGTCTACGCCGGAGGGTTGAAGGGAGGGCGGCCGTGGGAGGCGCTGGCCGGGCGCAGCGCCCTGGTTCCGCCGCAGAGCGTGGAGTTGCCTTTCGACTCCACCCTGTCGGCGGTGGGCGTGGGGTGAGGGGGGCTGGGCTGTATTAAGAAGCGGGGTGCGAGGGTCGTCTAGGTAGTGTTGGGGACTGCAGGGGGAGTCACTAAAGAGGGAAGTTGTTGCTTTATGGCACGGCGAGAGAAGAGTTAGGTAGTTAGTTGAGAGTGTAGCATCCAGAAAGAGGAAAAGATTCACTGTGTTCTCTGTGGGGTGAGCTCATGTCTGTGACCCCTGGGGAAATTATTGAGTTTGTTTTTGCCTCGTTTTGGTCTGTAAAATGGCGATCTTATTGCCTAGTTCACAATTGTGACGATTATGTGAGAAAATACACGTTAAAAAGCTTAGAACAGCGCCAGGTGCTGCTCATTACATGTTAGCTCTACTTTTGCTCTCCATGTTTTAGGAGTTCAGAATGATTGGGCGACCTTATCTTCTTGGAGAAGCAGGACACTTGGTCTGACAAGTGAGAGTGATGTTATGAAGACAGTGATATGTAATATTTGACACTCCCACGATCCTGGACATAGTATTACTGTACACGTGGATAAATTATCATTTCTCCATGAGGTTAATAGAAATATTAAACGATTTCGGTAGAAAGAAATGTGTATGTATATATACATATGTATATATGTGTGTGTGTTTATATATGTATATATATGTGTGTATATATATTTATTTGGAAGGAGAGGACCTGGGGTCTCTTTGGAAGAGTAATTAAATTCGCCCTGCAAAGATTTACTTGAAGGACCGAACTTGGGAATTTCTGGTGAATGTTTCAAAGAGGCTGAATTTGACTAGGAGGAACAGTTCGTGATAGTACTTTGCAAGAATGGAATGCACTTTGTGCTGTTGAAAGTTTCTTATCTCAGAATATTCGGGACATTGGAGCAAAGTGTGCCTAAGTCTAGAGCTGCACTTTTCAGTAGCAGTTTCTGCCATGATGGAGATGTTCTATAATCTGTGCCAGTAGGCATTAGTGGTAGCCTCTAGGCACAGTGACTCTTCAGCACTTGAAATGCGATGAGTATCACTGAGCAACTTAATATTTAATTTTATTCATAAGTTAATAAATTGATTTACGTTTAAATACCTACGTGTGGCTAGTGGTGGCCACTGCATTGGACAGCACAAGTCTACAATTTAGATTTTGAGAGTCCTTCCAAGTCTTAATACGGTTGAGTTTTAAATCAAAGAAGCCAACTCTTTGGAACATTTACTGCCTTAGGAAATTGTCATTATATTCAAATAATGCCTTTCATTCAAATACTGCAGTTCAGAGCATGGGCCTGTAAGTACTTATTTACATCTTGACAAAGCAAAGCATTCTTTTGTCTCCTAGGTTGTACAGCTAATGCCAGATTCACAGAGCTATGACAGTATTAACTGGATTTTTCTTTAAACATTGTTGTAGTATATTGTGATTTTGGGTTTCTACTATCTTTTACCACTTTGGTTAGTTTTCAGTGAGAACTTTCCAGCACTTTTATTCAAGTTTTTTTCTTTTTTAACCTTTTGTATAGTAAAGCGATTTGAAAAATTGTAACTCTTGAGTATTGGGACATTTTAGAACTAGTTTCATGGTTATCCAAATCTTTTGGAGAGAGAAGTGAAATTAGGTGATGTTTCACAAAAGTACTTTCCTTGAAATATGTGCGTCTGTTTTTTTTTTTTTTTTTTTTCCAGGTGCTTGACCTGATGTCTGTAAAATGGTGCCCTTGGGCCAGGCAGTTGGCTCATGTTTGTAATCCCAGCACTTTGGGAGGCTGAGGCCAGAGGTTCTCTTGAACCCAAGAGTTCAAGGCTGCAGTGAGTCATGGTCAGGCCTGGCTTTCCAGCCTGGGCTACAGAGGGAGACCCTGTCTCTTAAAAAAAAGAAAAATGATGTTCTTGATCTCAAGGCTGAAGATGATCTTTAGATCTGGAACAATAGCTTAAAGCTCACGAATTAATCGGATGAGAATAGCTCATAATATATGAATCAGAATGGGGTACTTTTATGGGTGACCATAATATCTTAATTTTTCTGAGACAGTCATGGTTTAAAGCCTGATTGTTCCAGCACAGTTATTTAATAGAGCCCCTTTCACTGTCAGAAATGCTCCAGTTGGGACCACATAATGTCACCCTACTATTAACCTTGTTGGAATTTGTAATATATAGTTTTAGGACAATTAACCATGTTGCAGTATCAGAAATACTTTATTATTACTATTTTTTTTTGAGATGGAGTTTCGCCCTTGTTGACCAGGTTGGAATGCAATGGTGTGATCTTGGCTTACTGCAACCTCCGCCTCCCAGGTTCAAGCAATTCTCCTGCCTCAGCCTCCCTGGTAGCTGGGATTACAGGCATGTACCACCATGCCCGGCTGGTTTTTGTATTTTTAATAGAGACAGGGTTTCACCATGTTGGCCAGGCTGGTCTTGAACTCTTGACCTAAAGTGATCCACCTGCCCCAGCCTCCCAAAGTGCTGGGACTACAGGCGTGAGCCGCCGTGCCCGGTCAGAAATATACTTTAAAACAGCGACAAAATTACTGTTTTTGGGTCTAAATAATAAATGAGATATCTGGAATAAGGCCAGCAAGTGACTTTCCCATTTAAGCCACTGATAATTTTAAAATTTTGCTTTGGAAAGAAATCTTGAGCAGCCTGATTTTTGGTTCCCTCTGGAAAAAATTATCTTTTGGTGGAGGTGACTGCAAAGCATGTTAGTCCATGTCAGTCAAATCAGGAGATTGAGTATTTGTGTTGCAATAACACCTATTTTATTTTATGGTGCGGTGGAATAGTGAAATCCATCAGAAATCTGATTATGTATTAGAATGTTAAAGGAGGGTTTTGCTTTCAGTTTACTTAAATAATGAGAAATAATTCAGCCACATGCATTATTATATTCAGTTTATACTAAAGTGGGTAAAATATTTTATTGAGGCTCTAACACTTGATTTGAGTTCTGACTCTGCTGCTTACTAACCATGTGATTTGGGATAAGTTATTTAATCTTCCTAAGAATACTCAGGTTCCTCATTTATAAAATATAGATGGTAATGGCATCCGCTTCTAGGTTCTTAAGAGGTTAATTTAGATTTAGGCTGCTGTAGCCTTAAGTTTATTGATAATCTAGAAGTGATAATAATATTCTGAGATGTTCTGTGGGTTGGTGGACAGAACACCAAGACCCAATTCTGTAAACCTAGCTTTTGCCCTTTTCTGCCCCATTGTTTTTGTCATTTCAGTTAAGGTATTTAACTTATATCTGAGCCTCAATTTCCTCATCAGTAAAATGGAATTAGTGTGCTACCTCATCCCATCTTCTCATAGGACTGTTGGTGGCATCAAATGAGAATTACGTTTAAAAATTGTCGTCTTACTTTACAAACATTTTTATGTTGAATTGGTTTTATCTCATCTTATCTGCCTACAACCTCCGCTAAAGAGTGACCTGCAAAAAATGTTCTGTAAATTTTGTGTAACAGCGTAGATAGTATAATAGGCACCATTAATGAAGGCAGTTCTCTTTTACAAATAATATTGTAAGTCACAGGCCAGGCATGGTAGCTCACAACTGTAATCACAGCACTTTGGGAGGCTGAGGTGAGCAGATCACTTGAGGTCAGGATTTGGAGACAAGCCTGGCCAACATGGCGAAACCCCATCTCTACTAAAAACACAAAAAGTTAGCTGGGCACGGTGATACACGCCTGTAGCCCCAGCTACTCAGGAGGCTGAGGCAGTAGAATCGCTTGAACCAGGGAGGTGGAGGTTGCAGTGAGCCGAGATCGTGCCACAGCACTCCCACCTGGACGACACAGCGAGACTCTGTCTCAAAAACCAACCAAACAACCCCAAATAATATTGTAAGTCACTTTACAATTTTGTTGTAAGTGCTTTATTGATCTGGTCACAGTATATTTTCTGCATAAAACAACTCCATACTACTAAGGGAGAACCATTTTTTTGGGCACTTGATGAGGTCCTTCCATTGTATCTCATTTATCCAAACATATTCCCACCTAATAGATTATACTAATGAGGCTCTTACTTTCTAGAATGAGTCTGTCAAGCTTTTCTGTACTGTAATTCTCCCTCTGAAAATATCTGGCTTGTAGTTAATGGGTAGTGAAGGATAAATAAGATGATGAACATGAAAATAGTGGCTGGCGCTGTGACTCATGCTTGTAATACCAGCACTTTGGGAGGCCAAGACAGGCCCAGATTGCTTGAGCCTAGGAGTGATGGGCAAAATAGTGAGACCTGGTGTTTACAAAAAAATTAGAAACAAAAATTAGCTGGGCCGAGTGTGGTAGCTTATGCCTCTAATCCCAGCACTTTCGGGGGCTGAGGCTGGTGGGTTGCCTGAAGTCAGGAGTTAGAGATTAGCCTGGCCAATATGGTGAGACTCTGTCGCTACTAAAAATACAAATTTTAGCCAGGCGTCTTGGTGTGCACCTGTAATCCCAGCTACTTGGGAGGCTGAGGCAGAAGACTTGCTTGAACCTGGGAAGCAGAGGTTGCAGTGAGCCAAGATTGCACCATTGAAGCCCGGGTGACAGAGCAAAACTCCATCTCGAAAAAAAAAATTAATAGTCAAGCTTGGTGGTTCATGCTTGTAGTACCAGCTGCTTGGGAGGCTGAGGGGGGAGAATTGCTTGAGCAGGGGAGGTGGAGATTGCGGTGAGCTGAGATTGTGCACTCCATGGGGGGGACAGAGAGAGACCTTATCTCAAAAAAAAAAAAAAAAAAGGTGTGCTGTTTGG